GGCGTTAGTCAGCAGCCTTTTCCCGTTGAAGGCCAGCTCTTTCCCAGCTTCTGACACGTAATTCTGATCCCGGCCTTTCACGCACCACACACTCCCCACCTGCTCATCTGGGAGAAGGTCATTATCCCCAGGCTATTCACTGGCAATGGAGCATGCAAGAATAGATGCTTCTCCTATTGTGCTGTCCGTCTCCCGGATTGGCTGTGGAGTGTGGGAAACGCCACCAAGCCGGAGACCCACAGACTCTCAGAGAGGTTGTACAGTATAAATACCAGGCAGAGCCAGCCTCCAGTAGCACGCGTCTCTTGGACTTCCACTCCGAGACCTTCCCGCCTTCCCCAGGACAGATGGCTCCCAGCACTGTTTTCATGGAGCCAGACAACCTGCTGACACCAAAGGAGAAAAACAAGGTAAGTCCAGGCACAGCAAGTCTCAAGCTGCACCCTCAGCTGTTCTCAGAGTGGTTTAAACCACCTGAGAAACTGGTCCACATTGTTTGGGAACAGTGATGGGCAACAAACAGTGCTGTGAAATGGCAGGGAGAGGATCCCTCTAATAACAGGTCTCTTTTCCTTTGCTTTTTACAGCTGAGGAAGCCGGTGGTGGAGAAAATGCGTCGTGACCGGATTAACAGCAGCATCGAGCAGCTGAAACTGCTCCTGGAGAAGGAGTTCCAGAGACACCAGCCCAACTCCAAGCTGGAGAAAGCCGACATCCTGGAGATGACTGTCAGCTACCTGAGGCAGCAGAGCCAGCTGCAGATGAAGGGTGAGTATTGAATTTTGTTTCAGTCTCCAGCTTACTGCAAATTTGTGACAGTTTTGTGAACCTCTAGCCATGAACAACTGCTCTAATCTGTTCTTTCTTCCCCTCCTCTTTTCTTCCCTTCTCTAGCTGCAGGGCCCTTCCATAAGAGCTCTCAGTTTGACTTCAGAGAGGGCTATTCCAGGTGTTTGCAAGAAGCTTTCCATTTCCTCTCTCTTCACAAAGTCCGAACTGAAACGCAGACCAAACTTCTAAGCCACTTCCAGAAGAGCCAGTCGGCTGCCACGGAGGTCCCCTTTTCCCCCGGGAACCACAGCACCCTGAAGCCAGCATCTCCAAAAGATGCCAGCACCCTCTGGAGGCCCTGGTAGTCCAGGAGTCCTTATTTCATGGACCTTTGCCTTTTACAGTCCAGAGGAAGGATCTGACTGCATCTGATAGTCCAGCTCCGATCCTCTCTTCTGTAGGGAATGTTATTTCCTCATGTATTTTATTTATCTGTGCAAAGAATGGCTTACTTTTGGCTTTGGGATCCTTTGGCAAAAGTTCAGGCATTCTGTTGTGTGGTCCTGGAGCTGTGTAGACACTGCTGGTAACAGTACACAGCATGCTGCCAGCCAGGGGTGAAGGCCTTCAAAATGAAGGGGGGTGTTTTGTAAGTGTTACAGTTGTGATGGACACGAATTGCTGTAGGAGAGTTTTCTCTAGTATCGCTTGTGAGAGGCATTGGCTTTGCTCTGGCTTGACCAGCAACAATTGTTTGCTCAGTCACCCCAGAGGATAAATTTACTACCCTTTGGTTCATGCACACTTGATTAAAATCAGTTTCCCTCTGTCTACTTATAATTTGTACAGGATCAAAGATGGGTTTGGTTTGGTTTTGGATTTTCCCCCCATGGCCCTTTCATAGTCCTAGTGTATAAAGGACAGAAACTAGGAAACTATGTGGAATATTTCTACTACTTTGCTGCTTTTTTCAGTTTAGAAAAAGAGGATGTTACTGCTTTATGTTAAAGAAAAGGTAGTGGGTAAAAGGCTTGATTTGTCAATGTTATACATTTTGTGTGTAAGCTATGCTTTTTCTAGCATTTTCATTATAATAATGATTTCTGTCTGTATTGAGTGGTTTAATTCATGGTGGATAGTGTTTCTCCCACAACTGGGACAGCCCTATGGCTACCTGCATACTGTGTATGCGTCTCTGTGTTTGTAGAGAGCAATAAAATGCATTTGTGTGCAACTGCTGTCTGGGTTCTCTCTCTCTGAGGGATTTGTGTGCAACTGCTGTCTGGGTTCTCTCTCTCTGAGGGATATGCAGCCACCTGCAGCCCTGGAACAGTCTAACACATCAGTCTTCTAAAGGGCTGGGGCTTTTTGTACAGCAAAAGGAGCCTGTATTCTCATCTATATATTCTCATCACGTGAATACCTTACACCCTTAAAGTCAAGTGTTAAGCAAGTGCTAGTCACACAGATTCTCTCAGCTGAATCATATTGAACATGTCCTTAGTCACTGCCTCTCTCCTACCCACACAAAACCTTCTCACCTGAGTAGTAAGGCCTCGAACCAGCCATCTAGTTTCCCTGCAGGTAGCACTTGGAATCTGAGTCCTCCTTTCACTCTTTTTTTTGCCCCTCATACTGAGAGCAAGCAGACTCAATCACTGCAGTGCTCTGTATGCTTTAATGCTGTCCCACAGTTTCTTCTCTTGAGATCTCAAGGAGGTGAATAAAGTGTCCCACAAAGCTGCAGCTCTCCCTGCAGCAGCATGGAACAGCGGTGGTAGATCTCCTTGCAGAGGTGGAGGCCTGAGTGCTACCCTGGTGGGGACACACGAACCTGGGTGTAAGGCCTTTTGCTGCTGTTGCACTTACCTGAATTAGGACTCCTCGAGCACATCAGAGTTTCTGGGAAGTGTGCCCGAGCCAGCAGTAATGTTGAGATAGCTTTTGGTCTGATTTAGAAGTTGTAGCTCGATTTGTCACCAGGTGGCAGCATGGGAAAAGGAAAGACTTCACTTTCCTCATCCTGGGAAACATCCGAATGTTTCTTCTTTTCCCAGGTATGTAATAGAGCTTCCCTGACAATTGCCTACAGCTTTAAAATGGAACCAGATCTGCAGCAAAACAGTTCTGGGTAGAGGATCTTCCACTAGGCTGAAGTATTTTCTGCAGCATCTGTTAAGTTCTGTCTGGTTCCACGTGTTTATCTGCTGAGTTACTGATGAAGGTGCTCTGTTGTAGTAGGAATGTTCACCAGAGCCTCTGACTGAGAAATACAGATATGTGATACTTGTAAAGCTGTGCCCTGTCACTACCATGGCTTCTCTGGACAATATGCCATTGTCTATGGAAGAGTAATGTGGTGCGCAGTAGGGAGTGCAATTTCCTAGTTGTTTTGAGCCTCTCTTATCTCAGTTCTTGTTTCCTCAAGGTCATTGGTACCAGTGCAATGCAGGGGGCTGTCACTGCACAGGGAAGGTGTGAATGCTGTAGGGATAAGATACAAGGATGTGTGAGGGGTGGCAAAGGGAGGTTGTAGCCTGTGCGCTTGGGTTGTGCTGGTACAGACACAAAGGGACAGATGGAAAGAGTCTTCTGCAGGTGGGAGGCATAACAAACTTACATGAAAAAGTAAGGCAACTTCCATGTGCTGGAATAATAACTTGGAATCAAACCTGCCAGGCATATTTTAATTATCCCTTTAGCAGTTGCATGTGCCAGCACTCCTAATGGCACAGCTCCAGAGCTCCATGGTTTTGCAGTTATTAAACTGTCAGCCCCGTGAGCCTCCTCCACCTGACCTCGCAGGGTTGTGCCACTCCCCTGCCTTGGCAGCACAGGCTGTCGTCACCTCCCCCAGGCCCCTCACAGGAGGCAGCGGCTGCCCAGCAGTGAGACAGTCCCACAGTCCCTCTGCAGAGACTCAGTGAGCAAATACATGCAAATGCAGTTCTCGAGGTCAAAACTGTCCTAGGAATATGGCACAGAATACAAAGAACAGGAACTGGTGCCTTTAGAGAAGGATTACATGCAAATCTGACCAGCCCTAGGACCACTTCTGTTATGTGCAGAGTGCATGCTAAGTTAATATGACTGTACTATTTGTAGTATACTTGTAGTTGTTACAGTCCAATTAAAACAGTTAACAGGGCTGAACTGGTGTTTACAACTTTGACTCTTCTGTAATCTCATGCTTCTGTTCCTCTGTGTAACTCTGTGGCCTGTTCTGTGAGCAAGGGACCTTTCCAGCATGTTGGGAATGTGCTGGGCAAAACACCCTGCTCCCAAACCCGAATTAGTTCTGTGTTCCTTACAATGCAGTGAAGAGCTCTGCATCTGATAACCAAAACCAGGAGCATGAGGTATCTGCTGGTAGCACTTCAGCAGGTAGAACTCCACAAAGATCCAGGGTCAGTCAGTGATTTAGCTCTGACTGTCAAGTGGCGAGAATAAGTCTGGGTCATCTCCTGTGGCAAAGCTGCTTCTGCTGAGTGATTTTCATTCCCTTCCCTGTTGTTTCAATAATAAGACTTTCTGCTAGTGGTGTGCTGAAATCCATGAGGCACATGAATGGTGTGAGCTGGTGGTTTATAACCTGTGTGCTGTCATGCTATGTTCCAAAGCACTTCCTGAGCTAAGTTACATTCTTGCTTTCCAGTGATTTCTCTGATGGAAAGAAAAGCACTTGCTACACTAGTATTTAAAATAGACCATCAAGTGTTGGCAGTTTAAGGTACTGTTATTATACTAGCATGCTTACTGAGGAGAGCCACCCAAACCCTTACCCTATAATAAACTGCTGCACTGGCCACTGTGGTTTGATTTTTTTTATTAAAACCCCGTATTTGTTACATTTTCAAGTGTAAATACTGAAAAATAGCCTATGGCAAAATGAAAAGGCACAGAATTAAAACCAGCTTCATTGTTTCCATGGATACATGTTTGCTATTTGGCAAAGAGTATTTTATACGCTTTCTACAAGAATAAGCATCATTTTAAATATATCTCTGAAGGGCGGGACCCTGTACTTTTAACCGTGACACCAGAATTTGTACTCCTAAAAATGTGATCTCTTTACCTCACTTTAAGGTCATGTCACAGTTGTTCTTTGGAGCAGAGGAACTCGAGTGCAGTGGGAGAGTGCAGCTTTGCATTACGATAGCAGCCGACAGGCACCTTAACATAGAGCTCACTTCGTAACACACCAAGACAAATAGCAGTCTCTTACAGCAAAGCAGGGATGCGAGTGCAAGTATACAGACAGCATGGGAGTTTAAACTAGCTCTAACCTGGATTTGGGAAGAACGCACCAGAAACTGGCTCAGAACACTGGGAAACAGTTCAGTGAAGCATTTCACACTGGTTTGCTGAGTCTCAGAAGGGGTGGTTGTGAGAGACACTAATATGATTGTTCCTTTCTGAAAAATAGATGTATAGTTGTTTGTTGGTTTTGCTTTTATCTAAGAATTAGTCTTTGTAACCCTGATGCAGTATCTTAATAACAGTCAGGATGTCATTGAAACAGTCATTCCTGTTCTGGAGCATGCCGTGGCTTCCAGCCCAGCCCATCAGTCACTGGGATACCCGCGTGCTTCCCGGTGGGACTCTAAGAGCTCGAGGGCTGTAGTTTCCTGGATTCTCACTACAGTAGCTGCACCATGAGCCTTGGCTGTGACTGAAGGGGAGAACATCAGGCACATTGTTCGTGTCACAGAGTACGTGTTGTTCTCACCAGTGTTCTTTTTGGTTACCAGACTCTGCACTTGTCTGCAGGATGCATGGCTGTGCCTTTCTTACAGTGGAACACCTCTGAGAATGCTTCGAAGTTCTGCAAAGAACCCATCACCCTACACAAAGAGAAGGAACTTATTTACATGGATAAAGTGCATGGAGGTTGTTGCTTTGAAAACAGAAAACCGTGTTGGAATTCCAGTCTCGGAAGACAGGATACTTTATGCAATTAAAACACAGCTGATAGGACTCATGAAATGCTGGAACAGAGACAGCATCCTGGACCATTCCCTACAGACTGGCAAATTCACCAGGTCAAGCAAAGGAATGTGCTCCCCAGCAGTGTCCTACGAGCTGTGGGAGAAGCTCTTAAAGTTAGTCCAGATTGATCTTGTCTGTTAGAATATAACTCACAGCAATGAGCCTCACTTTCCTCCTGCACCATATTGGCACGATGGGTTGAACAAGTCAGTGATCAGTTAGTAAATCAGTTAGTAAAACCCACCTGTATTTCAGAGGGCTGTGAACATCTGTCTTTATGGACTGGCTAGCATATTCTGGTCTGTAGGAGCCACACCAAACCTAGACAAGGAGGATTAATCATTAGTGGGTCAGTATTAAAGAGAATTCAGTTTGG